CCGGCTGCAACACGTACTTGTGGGCAAATCGTCACGCACCTGCAATACCGAAGCCGACCAAGAATATAAGGAAGAGTTTTTTGTAAGTTGATTCTTGGGGATTGGGAACGAAAAACAATTCTCCAAAACGCAACAAACATCTTTGAACTGAGATTCTAACTTGCAACCTTTTGAAGGGAGGTTGCTTAGGCATGTATAATACAACGATTCAAAGGATTTCGTCAATATTAAGTAGTAAGTTAACGATTTAGTAAGAAAAATGTCTGGGGAATAAGTTTCATATAATGTACAATCGAATGAATAAATTAATTCACGTAAGCAAAAACTTAAAATGCCACAATTTGTTTCTTTTAGTAGCCCTACATCAATATAAATGAAATTACGCTTTTAGCTGCCGTTATTAATCTAAAAATTGACCGTTTTTTAAACGATTTCGTTCCAACAGAACAGGAAAATTAAAAACCTTAATTTCACAATGATAGATAATGTCTTAAAATATATATTTCAAAAAATATCAAAAACTCAGAGAACGCATTGACAAGAATTCAACGATCACTATTAGTATCCACGTTTCTTCATATTTTGGTGTTCAATTATTCACATCTGGTTTTCAATTATTGACATCATATATTTTAACAAAAAGCACTTATCAACTTCCCAAACTAAAACATTTATAGGTCAACTGTTTTCCTCCGACTTGCCTCGAGAACAACTCATTACAATATAAATCAAAATAACAAAAACTAATAGAACTTTTGAATTGACTGCTAACAACGAAATAAATTACATTAACTTGCGCTACTAATTTAAAAATGGTTCACGTTGTCTTTAAACGTCTGTGTTTTGGTTCTCTTGAACGCCCCGTGCGGCCAGCGGTGCATAGTTTGAGCACCCTTCAAGCAGGAGAAGCGAATCGCTGAGATGATTTATGAACCTGGCACTGCGCTGGAGGCCAGGCATCATCTTCCACCTTTCAAAACATCTACTTGATTGACTCTCAGAGTATCCTGCGATGCAGAAGTTTAACACAGCGTCGGAAAGTAACCTGGGGAAAATTAATGACGTCTACGGGGAGGCAGACCCTTCTGTATGATACAGGTTATCGAAGCATGTTTCATGTCTCTGTGCTGGCATAATACCCTGTTTCATAATGCGCAGTTTGCACCTGCCTTAGTTCGTCATAACACGTACAACAAACTTTGGGTAGATTAAGGATCATATTTCATTAAATTCAGGTAACACTTATGTAAATTGAAAATTAAAATGCGGTGAATAATAAAAGTTTGTATCCTTCTTCTCATTTTCACCTTCAACTCATATCTATCTTTTTATGTTCGACCTTCCCTATCCGTCCGTACCTATCCGCCACTCTGATTGAGATGGTTCTATGGTTTACCCTACGATTTATGATATGTGTGACTTGGTCCCTTGTCTTGTATCTCAGGTATACGTGTAAAAATGCCCCCTTGTTTTGTAGATTGTTAATAACTGAGACATTGCAGATGTAAATGACAGTGAATGATATTTGGGGCAAAATTAGTTTTACTGATCATTATTTACTTTAAATATGATAAGTATAACTCTTCATTAAAAGAGGTTTCAAGAACATACAACAAAAACAATGAAATGCAAACGTAATTTAGAGCATGAGCAGCTGATTTCTTGTAGATAGTGGTATAACATTGCCTTTTTCAATGGGTCGGCAAATAACAGTTAATATTTACTCTCGAACTCTTCAATTGCAATTATCTAAATGTATATTTACTAAAGTGGTAAAGCAAAAGTAGGCTTTATTATTATTATTATTAATATTATTATTATTAATATTATTATTATTATTAGACGCTTCCAAAAACTGGCATTGCTCGGGCATTTATTTATCACACTCACTAGCGAAACTCGGCAGAAGAAGTTCTGCCCTTAATCTCGTTCTTTCTCCTTCCCTCTCTTCCTTTCTCCCCTCTCTTCATCTCTTCCCCTCTTTTCGTCTCTCCCCTCTCTTCGACTCTCCCCCTCACCTTGTCTCTCCCCCTCTCTTCATCTCTCCCCTTCTCTTCGTCGCTCCCTCCCTCTCTCTCACTCGCCCTCTTCCGCTCTACCTCTCTTTCCGTCTTTCTCTCACCCTCTTTCTCTGTCTGTCTCTCTCTTTCTGACTATCTCTCTGACCCTCACATACACATTTAGTTGCAATTTTTTGTCTTTGAGCATCTGGTTTAATATCGAGAAGTCGGACCAACAAAAATGTAATAGAATGTTCAAGAATATTTCATCCTGTAGATGATGGTGTGAGAAACGAAAAAACGTTTCATTGAGACCTTTGCTCTCAAAATTTAGTTTTTAATGCTCTAAAACGCTTCGTTTGGGAGTTATTTAACGACATAGAGTCAATAAGCTTGCCGTGTGTGCGGGATACAGCTATATCACTGTAAAATAAAATCTAACTTTATCCGTGGGTAGTGTCTGTAATGGGTTGTCATGTCACGCTTATAGAATAAGTACTTTTTAAGTTAAATCGGTTCTAGAAGATGGATTTACAGATAGATAAAATTTATTTGACAATATATTTTACCTATAATATCCCGAGTAACATACATCCGTACGTTCGTCACTAACGTTAGCGTACTTCCGATAGAATTCAATTATTTTTCAGGGGATGCTCCCACAGGAATCGCAGACTACCGTCAGTTCAACCATTGACGCTGTGCAATGGCACTACCCCGCCATCGTCTTTCCGTTCTATCAGTGCTATTACCACCTTGTTCATCTAATGCAGCAATTGCCCCGTCGCCGTCGCTTCCCACGTTACGATTACCACGTTCCCCAGCTCGTCCTGTCCTTCCCGACGGCACCCCGGGTCACACGGCAACCGAGCTCGAGTGGAATGCCGTTTGAATGGAAATTGAATTAAAATGAATACATGAAAACATGTAAAGATCGAATCATACAGATTGTGGAAACATATATTGTTCTTTGAGGCCTGTGGTCTCAAAATTTTAGTTTTCAATGTCCTAGAATACTGCGTTTCGGAATTATTTAAAAATGTATAGTCAACAATCTTGCGGTGTGATGCGGGTTGGCTTTAGTTTCAATAGGTAGTTTTTCTCTCTTTTTTGTGGATATCAGGCGGAGATGAATCCAAAAAATCGCCGATAATTAAGATTGGTCCAGCCTTTATAAGTTATAAATGATGTTACAAACACAACTTTATTTTAACTGGAGTGCATGGCATTACCCGGGTTCCGCGTAAAGATGTTTTACACCAATACAACTAAACTTTCTTCGTGTGTTTAAGTATACGCAAATTTACAATTTTTATTCAATATATAGTTTAATCTATTAATATCAAACTCAAATGCCTCTCGTTTAGTGCATCCCCCTCCCCCGCCGACTTGGCCTTACCCCGCCTTGCACAGTTCACACCCAAAATCCACGGTCGACATCACTCACTTTCTAAGAGAAGTATTTAAAAAATCTACACTGAATGATATACTTCCCTGCAAAAATTCATGAAATCTGTCAGTTTTAGCATGACCATAAGGGTTTTCATGATCTTGTTTCATGACTTTTTCCCAATAATATCATATCGCTTGTACACTTATTAAATTCATGACTAGATGCAATAAAGATCATTTTTTAGCTTACATTTATACGTATCTTACATGTGAAAAATAACAATCACAGTTATCATTCTCAAATACAAAATGTTCACATTATGCAATTTAATGTAAAATAAACAACCACTCATAACGTGTAACACACCTTTTCTATTATTGTTTCGACAACATTTGTAGTAATAAGCTTCATTAATTAGTTATTCAATTTCGCTTCATTATTGCGGCCACCACAGAAGTGGTTGCATGAACACCGGGGCTGTGCTTGAGGCAATGCGCTTTGGATCGATTGATTGTTTGTTTGATTGATTTCAGGCTCGCTAACAGCTACGGTCATGAGACCCTTTAGTGTCGTGAATGTGTTTCCTTTCCTAGTTCGTCCCCCACTGGATAGTGTGTTCCGGTGGAGACCTACATGTTTGCTTACGAGAGATTTTACACTCCGGCTACTGCGCCGCCGGAGGAAGCTCTAACCTTCTGACAAATGTGGTAGAAGAGAGAATATAAGTGTAAATGTGTGGTAGTAAGAGGTGACGATAGAACAAGGAAGAGAAAGGAAAGAAATCGCTCGGTCTGTGTGTGTGTAGGGTACTTGCATTTGTCAGATATTGAACAGACAATTCTCGGAAAACTACCTAACGGGGAGTGGTAGCTCTTATCTACTGATGTCACTGCAGTACCTCTGAGCGGGAGGTTCTACGTTTGACTCTCGACGGTGACAGGATTTTCAATACTAGCTAGATAGCTCCTCAGTCGTTGCCTGGAGGAGACTTCTAGAGACTTCAGAGACCAGTGGCTCTGATCGGTAGTTTTCCATGGTTTCTCCGATGAAGATCAGGTGAATGGCCGAGTAATACCCTTACAAGCGGGCCACGGACTGCGCGAAATATTTTCTTCCTCTTCCTTGTCCTATCCTCACCCATTACTAACACTTATACTTCCAAGCACACTAACACTCATGCCGGGAGACCGGTCGGGAGCTTTCAGCTTATCACAGCTGGGGCGGTGCCCCGCTGGTAGGAGATATCTGATTAGGTACAACTCCTCTAGCCGATACGTAGGTTGGCGCCGGATGTTTCCTTCTATCTAAGGAAGATCACAGTCACCTCCTGAGGAAAAACATGCGACACTTTCGGGATAAATGAGCCTGCCTGTGGTCGCGTCCAGAATCGCTAATGAATTAGTGAATCAATGAACGGAAAACTATCGATCAGATAAGTCGGCGTCTAGAGTTCTCCTGACAGCGGCTTAATTCGTCCTTGCTCTACAGCTAGCGTCAACTCTACAGCCACCGCCGTGACTCGAACCCTAGGGTACAGGCCGGCGGCGGGTGCGCTGTGGAGCGCGGCAGCGGGTGACGGCGGCGCGTGGCTTTGCGCGCTGTTGCAGACGAGCGGCGACGGCAACGTGACGACGAGCGTGCTGACGTGGACGCCGTCGGCCGACGACCAGGCGCAGGAGCTGGAGTGCGTCGCCAACGCCAGCCGCCGCCTCAGCGCCGCCCTGCGCGACGCCTGGCTGCTCGAGGTCCGCTGTGAGTAGCCCCTCGCCCCCTCACCGTTTGCCTCTCCCCTCGCCCCTCGCCACTCGCTCCTCGCCCCTCGCTCCTCGCCCCTCGCTCCTTGCCCCCCGGCCTCCGCCCCTCGCCCCTCAGTTAGTCACTCGTGGCAACGCAGTTGACGTCATGCAATAGCAAGGCTCCAAGGAACTGGAAATTATTCATTTTATTGAGAGAGCTGGCTCATGAGTGGACTCCATACTCGTGTGGAAAGTTTGCTTTCATCATATATTCCGTTCTATAGAAACGTCCGTATCATATATTCCGTTCTATAGAAACTTGAAAAATCCCTCAATCTCTCCTGGATGAGGGTAATAGAAAAATCAACACTTGTTTCATTTTCTCCGAATAAAAACAATGTCATATTTTTATTCCCACGAAAGAAGAAATTGATGAAGAATCAAAAATCCAGAAATTGTGCTATGCACAAACCGGGCGTTGACGTATTTAATAAGCTCTCTCACTACCAAACAACAGCTCAAAAGATAAAGTGGTGGCCCTTTCGTTTTTTCTATGCGGTTCTGGATGCAGGAGGTAACTTAATGTTTATATTGTATACAAATCCAATAAAGTGATTGCATTCAGAGCATGGCTTCTAAAAATTTTGCCAGTATTATGAACAGATGTCGTAATGAAAAATTATAACGAACAAAGCATTACCTAGAGAAATGAATTCAAATAAGAGAATCCTACTCAATGAATAATGTGAAATTCAAGAGAGTCCTCCAGCCAAAGACTAGGAATATTCTTTGTGAAAGGTTCGGGAATAGAAAAAGTATAGGATGTGTTGTCTGCGGAAAAAGTATATGTAGGAAATGTAAAAACCGAACTATGCTGCACTAACATGTTGTAAACACAGTGCATATTTTTCCTTGCAACTATCTAGTTATTTACAGGAAATTAAAATGAATTAATAGTGATTTAATGCTAATAAAATGCATAGTTCATAATGGCTGATATATTTTAACATTTATGCCATTTTTTTCTTTCTAAGCGTTTTAAGGTCAAGTGACCATTATTCTCTTCCTTCTCTTTATTGTTAAAAGCTTATTAAAATCAATCATTTGTATATATTTTAAAAGAAAATTCCCCGCGTCATATATGACTCTACCATACAAAATATGGCCAACATTTTCACAATACAGTTCAAGGGTTAATCTACGATTCAATTTTCTAAATTTTCTGTGAAATGCTGCATAAGTACTTACTGAATGTTTCGTTATTTATTTTTAAGATATTGTGTGAAAATTCATTGCACTTTGTTCAACATCACGACAATCGAGAACATTCTCCCATGATTCGTTACGTTTATCAGATACATAATTTTTATTAATTTTGAAAGTATGTCTTTTAGTTTATCCTCGTATATTACGTTATTGCTTAGGTTAGAAGATACTTACTGATCACAGCAACAACGTCTAACTATACCTTTCGGACGATTTCACCAAAACCTTTTTAAGTATGACTTTGTAAAGTCATTCTTAATTTCAACTGTTTTTGCGACGTAAAGCACGACTTCAAATGGGCAGCTGATACGTGTGCTTAGATTTAAATCGATCTTATCGCTGAAGTTCGCCTTATATGGTATGGTTAAACTGAAACTACTCCCAATTCTTAAGATGAACTTAAGATTTTAAGTCATGGTGATGAAACCTGTCGTTAATAAAATTAATAGTTGGGCTTCAAAATACAAAATTCAAATCAATCGAACCAAAACGGCAGCCGGATTTTTACACTCAAATCACTTACCCCCTCAACCGCTAATGCTAATCAATGCAGCAATTAACCGACTCTCTCCTCAATAAATAAAATAGATAAGTAAGGCTGAATATCGACACATAACTCAATTTAAAGCAACATAGACGCTTAAATTACTCAAGCCAGAATCAAGCTATTACAACTGAATCCATTAAAACACTGATCCGTCTCCTAACTACACAATTCAACATTATAATTATACAAAGAAATAGCAAGAATCAATCTTCAATACTACTGTTACATTTTCTTCAGTATCTGACATATGAACAGTCTCATCTGATGTAGATTCCATTTGGTACCGTCTTTCATATTCTTTCAAGACAGCGAATATTTTTCAATTATTTTGTTTTCTCGTTTATACTGCAACAAATACGACATGCATGTCTTGCGCACTCATTCCTCGTCCTTTGAGGTGTCGGCGGGGCCTGGTTCTTGAGACAATAGCCCCGCGGCTCACCTTATTGGACACATTAATCTACGGCCCGTCGGCGCGCTAACGAACGTACACAAAGCCAACCTCTTCCCTTTGCGCCTTATCCTTGCATCTCTCCCCGAGCAAGGCGGTGTTGGGCACAGTAATTGCGAAAGGAGACCCGACATGTGAACGCTCTCAGTAATTGAAAATAAATCAAATGCCCTTCTTTGACGCAGAAGATGGGTCAAAAAGAGTCCGTGAAATAAATATTTTGTGTATATAAGTATTTAATTTGTATACAAACGAATATATTTGAGTAACCTATGGAGATTTATATTGCATTAGTAGCTTCTTTTCATTCTCCCAACTTTTTGATGTGTGTATGAGTGTGCGGACGGACGCGCGGGCGGGGATGTTAATGTTTGAAGTTTAAAGTATATATCAGTGTTTTATTCAGTTACTCAACATAAGAAGCACAAGAAGTTTATTAGTCTTTTGATTATTATAATTCGTAGCAATTTAATTCATGCTACATATATACAAACTGAATTGAAGTAAACTGTATGAAAAAATTACAGAGTGTAAAAGAAACACCATACCTACAACGAGAGCACTTGATCCTTCTATGACAGAAACAATGTTTTTAACCCCAAAAGTATTTATTTTTACTATAAATGTTAATATTATCGTAGAAAATGATACTCAGGGCTTGTTTTTTATTGACGACTGATTTTTGTTTTCAAATTAAATAATGAGTGATATAGGGATAAAAATTAAAATCTGTGATACGAATAATTCTATGCTTTCAAATTTATGCCTCAAAATTAATAAAAATATGAAAACATCAATGAATTTATCGAAATATTTTATAAGATAAACTTCATTGTATTTATTGAGGACTGGCCCGATTTTTAAATTGAGAGGACGGCAGAACAATATTTTCATTGAAGGTTAAGCAAAAGTGAGGAATAGTACGATAGTGAAACTGGATCAAAAAGTAGTCTCAGTTTAACCACATTGCAATTTTCTCGATAAGAATTTAGCCGACCGCAACAAACCTCTATAGAATGTGGTTCAGAAATATGTTACAATGTTACATGTCTAGGGAGTTGAGGGTGGTCATTCTTTGCCAATTGACCTCTGGTGGGATATCCCGTATAAAAAAGTTATAGTTGTGGCATTTGTTCCTGATTGGTAGGCAAGTCACCACCCATTGGTGTTTCTCAGGTACACGTTTTGAAAACGCGTATCAGATACACGTGTACAGGTACACCCGTGAAACACCACTGCATCATAAGTTGCCTAGCGCTCAGGGGCCGAGGTCATTACCGTAACTACGTTACATAAAACGTTCCATTACATGTTCCTTTCCGAAAAATTGTCATCTTTGCCCCTAGATGCCTTAGAAGTTTACAACATTTACTCTAAACCAGCAGGTAGGAGGAGAATATTTTCTAGGCGTTCTGATTGCACGTCGCTAAGCAGGCCAAGGGTCTGTTGCAGATCCACCGGAAGTGTCCCTGGACCTCGGCGCCAACCTCAACGCCTCCTTCATTCGTGAGGGCGACGACGTGTACTTCGACTGCAGCGTCCGCGCGAACCCCTGGATCCACAAGGTCGTCTGGAAACACAAGGTCTGTGCACCACCGTCCTTCTTTGCTCAGATTAATGGCATAGCAATGAGCGACAAGCAGAAACTCTGAGTCATTATACGTATAAACAGATGTTGGGTATCACATGTCAGTCATAAACTCAAAAAGTTATATCATTTACAACCATGATACAAGCTTTTGCTATTATATGTCTGATGAAATGTGCTTAGTATATTTTAACATTCTGCATGAAAAATAACTGCTTATTTCCATGTGGAAGTATTAAAACTTGAACGGGGTCTTAGTTAAACACCTAAATATGCGCGTAGGTATGAACTTTTTTCACAAATCGACCATAGGAAGGAAATGTTATTTAGTCATTAAGTATGGTTCTATACATATAGCAAAACTGACCTATAGATCCTTCAATTATTTTTCAAGAGGTTGAGCAGATGTGGTAAAGCTGGGATTTTCTCAATAGTTGATCGGCAGATGAAAAGCATTCTAAGAAACCTACCACCGCGGAGGGTGACAAACTATGATTTTGATTCATGAACATCTGGTATAAGGTTGAGCATGGTTGTTGAGGTAAGATGGCCTCTGCACAGCAACGCGAGCGTGGGCGTCATCCTGAGCAACCAGACGCTGGTGCTGCAGTCGGTGCGCAACCACTCCTCTGGACTCTACGCGTGCATCGCCAGCAACGCGGAGGGCGAGGGCGAGAGCGAACCCTTCCATCTAAATGTAAAGTGTAAGTTGCGCCCTTTTGGTCAAAATATAGATTAATGCATAGTACTTTTAGGCATTTCAATGGATCTTCTACGTTCTTTGAGGTTCTACGGACTATTCTTAAAACGGTTTACAATGTAATCAACATTTTCCAGCTGTCAAAATATTGTTGCTAAAGTCATTCAAAGAAATTATCCAATATCTCAAAGGAACGGATAATATTTTCACCTCTCGTTTTTTCAGTTTACTCGCAGGTTCTTGGTTCCGATGATAAAATAAAATGTGTGACAGCCGGGTCACGCTGTATCACCAAATAAACACAGTTAAAAGAATTCTTAAACTGAAACCATGGTCTTCAATTCGTCTTTTCGAATTTTAAATATAAAGAAATAGTCAAATACTAGTTACTTTTAAAGAGAGAATGTATTCTTGTTATGAATAAAATAGGTTATATGTTACCTTCATAGTCATGACAAACTTTGAATGAACTAATACGGTGAACATAATAGAATTGCGGGAAACGAAAAACACCATGCACAACACACAACATGAAAAGCACATAGTTAACACGCCAAAAGGATTACAAAAGTCTTCAGGTCAAGAACTATAACACTACAGGAAACGATCTAAATCTAGGTAAAAAAATCTAATATGCATATTTACAATAGTCATTTGCATTCGGTTGTGTAATAGTTTGTTTGAACATTACTTTTGCAGATTAAAAGATATAATTAAAATATTAACTTTTTCAGTTACAGAAATAATTTTTCAAATGTTTTTATGTTAGTGAATGTACACTAATCGTGAAAGCATCTATTCACCATTTGTTGCTTTCCAGTTCCAAACTCGATTACAAAATTACAGTTATTCCTATAACTTATAACCTCCTCCGTCTTCGGTTCCATAATAAGATTCGACCTTGTCTTTGAGTAAATGCGTTTATTATACAATAAAATCAAGGGAATAGTCTTGCTACCTTGTGTTTCGATACTCTCAGATATTCTACACATTTAACTAGCAGAAGCAACAGAATTTCTGTAATACATGTATTTGCAAGCAGCTCAACGACTCACGTAGCCATCCCTCGGTGTCTGTTTTACAACGGTGGGGCGAAACCGCCTCCTTCTGCGGGCGAGGTCAGTGCCCCTCTCCCGTAGCTCCCGCGTAGAATCCAGGTGACTGTATGCCTTCGCTCATCCGTTGAACTTTTTCTTTCCTTTAGTGTCGTCGAAGTGAATCAATATCATTCCTTCGGTTGGATGATGTGCGATTATGGAATTGTAGTACTGAACAAAATAAGAAGTAGAAGAAAATTATAAAATAAACGCTGTAAGAAAAATACACCTTGCGTTAATTTTTATCTTACAGAGTTTAAGTTCATTACTTTTAATATATACATTGTATCATCAATAATGTGAAATGAAATAAAACATTAATTCTTTCTAAAATCAGGATGACATAATACTTTTCTTTTAATTAGTCGATATCATTGTGAAATCTGCACATTAAAGAAGTTCTAATACCTCTTTCCAAGCGCCTGTTCCTCGTATCTGCAACGTTCGTGGGTTACACTATTCTTCCTTCCGTAGACCGTTCCTTTCTGGAGTTCGTAGCCAAAATGGTCGAGTTTATCAAGCTTAGAAATTCGCGCATTGGCGGAGCCGGTCTAGCGTGAAATTTACGGTCGTCGGTGTCTTCGCAGCGCTCTCTGTCTGTTATTGAACTAGGTCAGTACATCGGTGTTTCTACTGTAAAGAGCTACATCACTCTTATCCTGAAAGCAATTGTTCATTTTTTAAATCTGGTATTACAAGATAACATAATTATAAGATAACACATCCTCCTTAAAGGTATTACATGAACAATTTCAGATACCTAAAATCTTACAAATAACAATAAATTTCCAGATTTTAATAAGATACATATAATGATATGACACATGTAAAAATATAACAGTAAATAGTGAGACTGATTTATTTAAAAGTAGAAGTAGTTCATTAAGATTTTTTATTAATTAATGATCTAAGAAAACTGAGGACAAAACTAATGAAACAGCAAATTTGTATTAGCAAATTTCGAGTATGTGTATACACTTCTCAGTTTTATTTACCCTAATGTAATTATTAACTCCATATAACATATCTTTGTTGGTAACCAACAATTTCTTATACAATCTACGATTAAACAACACATTACACTACATCAAACATTTCAAATACAAGGTTGTACATGTGGTTGTTCAAATACAAGATGGTTCTTCTAGAGTTATCCGCGTCAAATCAATAAAATAATTTCAAACGAATAAGTATTTTCTCTATTTTTAAACCTATTCTCTATTTTTAGTATCTTCTGAATTTTTATCCTACAAGATGCAGAAATGAAGAGATAATTACTGTCCTTATTGCGCTGTAGTTTTGTGAGTTTTTGAGCCGTTTGCTTTTAGGCCGTTTAGAAAACCTTTCTTTGTCTTTCCATGCAACTCACATTCATTTCAGCACAAAAGTCTGGAGGCTGTTCTGAATAAAGAAACAAGGCAGATATATGAAATTCTCCTGAATAATATTGCAGGAGTCTCAGGAAGAATTTAAAGCCTGTCCTATTTTTATTTACGTATTAGACACACATAATCGGATAACTCCTTGATATGAATAGAGAAAGAATTTGCTTACTCCCGATAAATTACACAATTTTAACTTCCGTATTTTAAAATCTTACATTACATTATTATTGCTGTTTATATTAATTCATATCAAATATATTTTTAATTTTCTACTGGCTTACCATTTACTGTTTAGTGCATTAGTGCAAAGTTTAGTATTAAAAAATTCGTATTTTTGAAACGGATCTATTATAATAGCTTGAATAAGGTTTTTATTTATTTCAAAAAGTATTTGATTTGTATACACGGATCTCACTAATCGCATAATGTTTCTTAAAATCTCGGTTTAATTATTTGAGTTCAGTTTCAAATGTTCATACATTGTTTTCGGAAATATTAAATTGTTTTCTAAACCAATGCATACAAGAGTACAGTGCAGATATTTTGTCATACTATTAGGCGTTCCCGATCTTAAAGCATATGCACCTCATTCAAGTTATTTTATGATTTTATCTGTCTGTCCCCTTTGTATTATATTGAATTGACGATTGAATTTTAACATTACAGGCTTGCCAAATTAAAATGCTATAGTTTTACACCGGCATTTGTTGTTGTTTTTCAATTGAAAATTGAATTCTTAGTTTCAGGTTCATGAATTAAAAGAAATTATTGATCCCTGTAAATAATTAAAAGATTAATCGAAAGCAAATTATTTGAAAAATACTTCCGTATTTTAATTTGATTGAGAAATAAAATTAGATGATATATGCATTATTTTATCATATTGACCCTTCATATTTTTTCGTTCGGTGTCCTTAATTAGGCATGCGTGTAGCATATGCGCAGTGGAGTCTCCGTCCCGCCCGAGTAATTGAGAAACTCAAGTGGAAACCTCGGGGAGGAAATACGTAGTCAGGAGGAATCCACTCGCCCATGCACGGCACGATCTCTGTTTTTACCCGAAGGCCATCAACGCCGCTGACCTCCTCGCCGTAAAACGCCCCAACTGCGGAGGGCGATAAAAAATTGTCCAAATCGGCTGAGCGCCACCGGCCACCTTCGCTTCAGGCCCACGAGTCTTGGAATGCGTGCGACGCAAGCACGGCAGCGTGGCAACTAAATTGATATGAATAAACTCCGCTAATCTCTCAGAGGTAACACAATTATCAAAACTAGTGGACTAACTAAATTGATGAATAAACACTGTTTCCTTATTTCTCAGAGGTAACACAATTATCAAAACTAGTGGTGCTATAAGAGCACGTACTTTCTTGCCATTAGTAATGGCTATGGAACACTCTTTATACCACAATGTTTCTAGGAATTATGTTTTGAAAAACTCATTTTTTGAGTTCGTATTTGGTGCAAAAAATAGGCAGAATACAAGAAAGTAAAATAATAAAAAGTTAATAAGGAATACGATACTAATATCGTTAGCAAATAAATACTATTGTAGATCGAAAATACATAATAGTAATTATTAAACACTATGGTATTGTAACATTTTACAATTATATAAAAGGATTCGTTTTTATTACCGCGAACAGCGAGTAGCAGCGATTATCGATCTTGTGGTCTGTGAGGCGTTACAACAATGGGTAACAACCACCAATAATGATCGCACATCTATTTTTAAATTTATTTTTCAATAAGATCAGCATTCAGTATCTGGTTGCTGCTTTATATTATTTTGTTGATATATTTAACTTATGCATCCTCTTTGAGATGACCGTACAAAATTAAATACCAAAGAAAAAATAGATTATAATGTGCAATACAAAAGGAATATAAATATACTTATTCTTACAATAACTTCTATATACAATGAAGGAGATTGGTCTTGTGGATGGAAGGTGTGGGTGTCCTCATGCCAGCTGATTTGTATTAAGGCTTTTATTAGCGGGAAGGATTAGGTCTTTGATAAATTTTTATTTAATTCTAGGATGTGTTGGGCTATTTCAATTGAGACTGAGTATGTTTGTGCTTGGGTATTGGCTTAGGTTGCTTAAAAATTATTTTGAAGAATTACATATGAATTTTGATGGTAGGAGTATTTTTAATTCATGATGTACTTCCATTGAGCCACATACCAAAGAGCTTTGATTCCCAGTCAAAGGGATTTGTTCTAAATTGTCTGTAGCTTTTTAAATCATGATTTGGAGGCTCATTTCTACATTGCACATGCTTATGACAGTGAGGGTCTCATAATTGATTTATATATTGACATGGTGGTAATATAGGTATTTTTCTTAGTTTAAAGACTTTGCTCGACTGTTTTAGTTGCGTTTAGAGCTATTCTCCATTTCTGTATCCACGGTAATTTTTTAAAGATCTTCTTGAGGGAGTTTTGCTCCCCCCTTCGCACTTACTGGAGCAGATAAGGTGGTGTCGTCAGCAAAGATGGCTATTTGCGATTTTACTGGCGGGAGAAATCTGCTGTTTATGTTATAGAATATGGAGGAGAACGATGTTTCTTGCGGTACTCCTGCAGATATACTCTCGATGTTGGAAGCTGTGTTAGTTATCCATACTGTAAATGTTCGATCTAGTATAAAGCTTCGAATTATTTTATAGAGAAATGAGGGTGTGTCCAATTTCTTTAACTTGTAGACTAGAATAACAAAAGCTCCAATGTAAGAAACAAAGAAATATTAAACAATATACATATTCTAACTGATCATTAACAATTAGATAAATCTTTCTATGCAGTTAATTAATTTCACTGTCATGTTGCGTGGTCATAATCCATGTTCCGTAGATTCTTGAGAGCCTTGATTGGAAACAATAACGTCTGACTGTCCGTCCGTCTGGCTGTGGTCAACTCTAGCACCTCAAAAAGTTCCAACACTTTTCTCCAAAACTGTTATTTCCAAATGATCTAAACAATTTCGTGCTTGGAATGGAATTTTGGAATCTTTGGGATACTTTACATAACGATTCAACATTTTCAAAAAATTATCAAAACTGGCTCTAAATTTGTTAATAAAACTGCACATGGACAGCGTTCAGAACGGTTAAAAGTTGCGCGGGTCTCTTTTTCGTTGAACACAACGATTTTTCGAAAATTGCAAAAGGTCAACATTTTTTGGCGTCTTCCTAAAACTACAATATTATCTACTAGTGCTACAGAATGGCCCATACTTTCCAGTATTAGTTTTATATTTCCTTTGGTTTCGCCTAGCTATTCGAACTTGCCACATACTCTTGTCTCCTGCTATATATCGCCACAAAAAGGATATTTTTTATTTTTTTCGCTAAACTCACTGTATTTTCAAAAATTGCAGAATATTAACATTTCAAAAATACAGTATTTCAGATAGTTATCTTTAACTTGAATGAGAAAAAACTGTTCTAAAAACTTCGATCTAATCTCAACAATGCTTTGAAAAAGCGAGAGGTTTCGGCGTAATTTCTGCTTTAATTTAATCCAGTTTATAAAAAAGAACATTCAAGAAGAGAACAATTCCAAAACGGTCTTCAATTAATTCTTTTATAACTTTTCCCCAAATTCTTAAAAATGTGGCAAGTCGTATGTTCTTGAGACTTGAATTTTTGGAATTTTGTGATTTTGGAAACAATGTATAAAAATATATACTGTATTAGTCTCACTGTTTTATTTACCACCACGGGGATACCTGCATTTCAGCTTTCTTAGCATTGATTTTAGTTGATACTTGAATTATAGTTTTTTAATGCAGACCCTGCTAGATATTAAACACCCTGCAGCAGAAAAAAAAGCGCAGCAATGTACAACACGCAACAAACCTCGTACCAACCCCAGTTCTTTAATAACGGGGTTTTTGTGACGTCTTCTCCATGAGAGGAAATTTCGCAATTTGCGGTGAAACACGGTTTCCCTCAAAAACATACGCGATAATAAACTTCTCATAAATTGTGGTAGTATTACGTTGTTTTTAATCTACATTGCTCATTTAAATGCAGCATATGGCTCGGACGAATACCCAGCGTGAGTAACATGTGTGGTTTTGAGTTTGAATCTCTGAGAAGCTTTTTCTTACCTCCAACGATGCTTTAGAGTCGCACTGCAGTAACATTGAAAGCGGCTGCATAAAATTCCAGAGACAATTTTGAATCATTCCTAAAGTTACTCTAAAACACAGAATTGAAAAATGAATATATATTTTTCAATAATTTATATTCTGTACTTCTGTCACGCATACTGCAATAGAAATTGTATTTTATCTAAAAATTAAATTAGTTCATATTTTATAAAGTATAATACTCATTATATTTTATTTTGCTCGTTTACTATCGAGCATAATAATTATAATGGTATTATTAAATCCTTCTATTATTACATGTATTATTAGTATTCGTTTTCTTTCAAATTAAGTTACACAAATTTTTACTTTCTTACACGCTAAAAGCCTTGTAAAGTGTATAGAAAATTCTAACAGGGAATACGAACAATAAGTCAAAAATGCAACATATAACTAGTTCATCCATCTTCAAGAGGGAAATGTATAATACAAAAATATTTAATATAGACGTTCCATTTTACTAAATACTGTCAATGTAACTGCGGTTCGATTGTTCTATATTGTGTTTCAGACGCGCCGGTGTGCCGTCCGCACCAGCAGCGCGTGTACGGCGCGGCGCGCCTGGAGACGCTGCAGGTGTCGTGCGAGGTGGACGCCAACCCGCCCGCCGCCGCTCTTCCGCTGGGTCCTTCAACAGCTCCGCCGTGGCGCCGCGCGAGGTGACGGCCGTGGCGTCGGCGGCGGCGGCGGCCGCTCCCTCGCCGCCTACACGCCGCGCGCCGAGGCGCGACTACGGCACCCTGCTGTGCTGGGGCCGCAACGCGCTGGGCGCCCAGGCGCAGCCCTGCGTCTTCCACGTGGTGCCCGCGGGCCGGCCCGAGGCCCGCGCGGCTTGCGCGCTGCGCAACCGCACGTGGAGCGCGCTGCAGGTGGCGTGCGCGCGGCGCGGCTTCGACGGCGGCCGCCGCAGCCGCTTCAGCGCTCGAGGTGTTCGCTGCAGGCGCGGCAGGCGCAGCGGGCAGGCGCCTCGTCGCCAACGTCACGGCGCGCTCGGCCCGAAGTTCACGGTGGCGGGGCTGGAGCCGGGCGCCGCCTACGTGCTGCGCTGTACGCCAGCAACGGCAAGGGACGCAGCGAGGACACGGTCAGCCTGGCGCGCGTCCACGCTGCGCGCCGTGGCGCAGGAGCCTCGGCGGACGGCTACGGCGGGTGAGTGCACTAATAATAGGCAGAAGCACGGCCTCTCTTACTGCGCGCAGGAGCCACGGCGGACGGGCCGCGGCGGGGTGAGCTGCACTAATAATAAGGCAGAGCACGGCCTCTTTTACTGCGCGCAGGAGCCACGGGGACGGCTGCGGCCGGGTAAGTGCACTAATAATAGGCAGAGAACGGCCTCTTTACTGCGCGCAGGAGCCACGGCGGACGGGCTGCGGCGGGTGAGTGCACTAATAATAGGCAGAGCACGGCCTCTTTTACTGCGCGCAGGAGCCACGGGCGGACGGCTGCGGCGGGTTATGTGCACTAATAATAGGCAGAGCACGGCCTCTCTTACTGCGCGCAGGAGCCACGGCGGACGGCTGCGGCGGGTGAGTGCACTAATAATAGGCAGACCACGGCCTCTTTTACTGCGCGCAGGAGCCACGGCGGACGGCCTGCGGCGGTGAGTGCCACTAATAATAGGCAGACCACGGCCTCTTTTACTGCGCGCAGGAGCCACGGCGGACGGGCTGCGGCGCGGTAAGTGCACTAATAATAGGCAGAGCACGGCCTCTGTACTGCGCGCAGGAGCCACGGTGGACGGCTGCGGCGGGGAGTGCACTAATAATAGGCAGAGCAACGGCCCTCTCTTACTGCGCGCAGGAAGCACGGCGGACGGCTGGGCGGCGTGTGCCACTAATAATAAGCAGAGCACGGCCTCTCTTACTGCGCGCAGGGAGCCACGGCGGACGGCTGCGGCGGGTGAGTGCACTAATAATAGGCAGACCACGGCCTCTTTTACTGCGCGCAGGAGCCACCGCGGACGGCTGCGGCGGCGTGTGAGTGCACTAAAGGGCGAGGAGACTCACAGTTGGGCGCCGGCCGCGCAGGAGCAGCAAAGTGAGTGAGTTGCTCTAAGAAAGCAAGGGGAAGATCACTGAGCGCCGCTGGTGTCCCGAAGCTCAAAGAATACTTGCAGCCGGTTGAGTTCACTCAGAAGAGAGTGCACTCATGAACGATCATCTGGTTTTACGCACGTACTATCATATTCAATAAGTGTTTATTTTTGTAATTAATGCATGATGTTTAAATGATTGCAATAAATTGCCGGGCGCTGCGCGTGTGGCAGGGGCCGGCGCGGGCGGCGGGCTGGGCGCGGCGGCGCTGTGGCCGCGGAGGCCCTGCCCGCCGCCGCTGCTGTGGGCGCTGGGCGGGCGCGGGGTGCGCGCTGGCGCTGGCAGGGGCGCGGGCGGGGGCGCGGCGGCGCTGGCGTGCGCGGGGCGTGGCCGTGCCGTGCGCCGCGTGTGCGTGCGCCTGCTGCGCCGCCGACTACGACGACGAGGACGCGCGCTCGGGGACGCGGGTCGTCGCCCCGCAGCGAACGGCTGCGCTCAAGGAGGCTGCGCTGGCGGCCAAGGCGCTGGCGCTGGCCAAGGTTGGGCGATGCGCCGGGCGGGGCGGCCGGCGGGGCCGCGGGCGGGGGCGCGGCGCGGGCGTGGCGGTGGCGGCGCGCGCCGAGGGGCCGCCTGGCCGGCAGCACAGTGGCTCCGCGCATGCGCACACAACCCGCTGCTGCAGCTGCACGACGACGCAGTGGACAACCCTGACGTCGTGCCGCACGCCAACGGTACGTGCCCTTGTGTGGACAATCCTTCAGATCATTTGTTCGAAGCCTCTGCAATTGCTACACAACTCTGTACAATCCCATGTGATAAGAGGAAATGCTTTCAACTGCACTACTTCTATTCAATTGAAGAACTTGTAACAATATCAAAATCGGTCTCACCGGTTTCTGTAAGTCTTCTACTACAGTCAAACCTGTCTAAGCCAAAATCGTTTGGGTTCAACATTTTCTTCCGGCTTATTCAGGTTTGCAATAAAAAGTGACAATTCAGAAAACCTAATCTTTAAAAGTTGAAATACATTGTATGAGTAGATTATCTCACAATCAAACTACATTTCAAATAAACTAATACGTTCCGGGAGAGAGAAAGAAAATAGCATAGCAAAACGCAACACGAAGTCTAATAAAACAAAGAACTCCATAAAAAGTACAAAAAGTATTATTTTCTTCAATTTTCATAGCAATAGATGAAATTTGATTATTTAGATTTCAGATATTCGCCTAGTTCCTTGTAAATATTGTGGCAAGCACTTGGCACTGTGGCAAGCAAAAAATTTCTATTAACTACTTATTCTTCTGATTTTGTCTTTGTTTTTAAGGTGTCATATACATGATTTTTTCCAATTTTAAATTTCTTTATCAAAACCTTGACACCTGATGCATTGTTCGTGTTAAATTAGTCTATTGTTTCACCAAGTGAACGTTCAATATGCCGCCAGTCATTATAAACACTTTATTTCACACAATACCTGCAACTCGTCGAACTAAACAAGGGTACAGCAAGAGATAACGTTTAGAACCACTGAACCCAAATCACGCATTACAAGAACTGTGTAAGAATGGCTCTTCGTATATGTCCTACCTTCACGTAGCCTTGTGACGAGTGCTATTGCAAATAAACAGTGGCTTTCACATATGAAGCATGGGAAATTGGAAATCAGACGATGGTAGCTGAGGAAGCGAATGGGCCAGCACAGCTCTCGAGTGTCTCGTGGCACGTCGCCACGCTTACAAACCAATATTTATTTTTAAACAATATTTGTTTTCCTTCTTATCCACAATTTGTAAAACGGTCCTACTAAAATTTCCTTTCCGTTTCTGCGTTAGGCAGGTTTACGGCTTATCCACAATACTTTGAATTGCAAATAGTTTGTTCCAAGATTTTTTTTCGGCGAAGGCAGTTTTTTTGCCTTGTACAGGTTCCGCCTTAAACAGGTTTCACTAAATTTCTGAACGTAAATTTTTCGATTTTGGTGTATGCATGTATCTATAGACTTGTTCATAATTATGAAGGGGTTGGAGGCAGAAACAAGATGAAACACGCTTCCGCCTAGTTCGAAATACAAAAATTTACGAATAGAGGTTTGATGGAACTGATGAATCATTACGCTTACCTTGGTGGGCTGGTGAGGTGTGATAATAATCAAATGGCTTGATGCCGTATTTTTTAAGAAGGATTTTTTACAATTATTGTAAAAAAGGCAAAATATTTACAATTTACCTTCAAAATCATAAGGTATTTTTGTAAATACAGGTAACTCATACGCACACACTATGTGATGTACCGGTTTTGTTTTCCAAGAAGAACATTTTATTGAATTCAAGTCGTCTTCTGGGTGTCTTAACTACCTTTTCGACTCTTACGTCTGACATTTGGTGTTGAATCTGAAGCTCGCAATAATTCTGCAATACAAAGGGGAGTACGAAAATTATTTCTTGAATCTCGTTACAAAACCTTTGAAACGTGCGGTTTCGAACCGCCTCCTCGTGGCTGCAAAATAAACTTAATACCTATAATGAAAATAGAAAACTTAATTGTATAAAAATAAATTTCGAATAACACTTTATTGTTCGTGGAATATTATGACTTATCTTCTACATGTGATGCTTGGATGTTCCCAGAAAGGTCTCTTTAGGGTTTTATCATGTTGAGGTAGAAGAACTCATTTTGTAAACGGTTCACTTCTTAATATTTCTTATAACTATAGAGAACGTTTTACAAATTAACGGAACTCGTGCAACGTACGTGACTAAATCTAAAAAGATATTTTACAATATTTATTATAATTATAATTATTATTATTATGGCTATTGTTATTATTTCAGAGAGTGACTACGAGAATCCAATGTACAAGGCGTTAGAGGCGTGCACAATTGGCAGCAGCACGAGAACGCACAGCGTAGATTCATCACTGCAAGCGCCACTGTACGTCAGTCTCCACAACTACTCGCGGGTGCCGACAACGGTAAGGGTGTTATTCCAGTTGAAGAATAAAAACATTCATATTTTTAATGATAAGTAGATCACTCACACAATTGCGTTCTTGGATTCTCTTCAAGTCTGCACACGAGACTAATTAATTTTCTAATTTATTATTAAATGTAAATGTGACAAAATCTGTGTCTAATTTAAAATTGCATCAAAATAAATTTCTAAGAATCCAAGATTTTAACTCGCTTACGTTTCCTTTTGCCAAAATTGGTTCACCCCGCATTGTCTACGCACAGATCCTCATTTCTCCCCAGGAGAGCCTTCTGAGCTACGAGCCGCTGGCGCCGGTGGCGGCGGTGCGGTGGCAGCCGTCGCCCTCGCTGCGCGACATGGCGACGCAGGCGCAGCCGCCCCCGCCCGCGGCCGCCCCCGCCCCCGCACCTGCGTCCGCCCCCGCGCCCGCGCCCCCCGGCGCGGCCAGCGCCGCCCCGCGGCAGAACGCGGAGACGCAGACGCCGCTGCCCATGCGCCACAAGGAGAGCGCCGTCTAGCGCCGGCTGCGCGGGGGAGGGGCGCTTGCAGCACAGGTGCCTGCAGCACAGGTGCAATGAAGTTATTGCCCGATTCAAATGTAGTGTCTCCTCAAGGTCGTGAGTTGATAGGAGAGGGGGACACTGCCATCCATTCCTGAACTTTCCTCAATTATTGGTATTCAAGCTGTCGATAAGAAGACAGTGTCCCCAAGGCATGTTACATGAAGAGTCTTTTGAAGTTTACGAGCTGTAAGGAAAGGGGAACACTGTCAACCCATCCAGAGCTTTCTCAATTTTTGGGGATTTAAACTCCTGATTGGTTGACAGTGTCTTGGTCTATTTCCAGCTCGGGGAATTTAAAAAAAATTAACAAGCTACATTTAACATGCATAGTTTGTTAATGTCTATTGCACACGGTGGGATTTCTGTAATATTTTTATTAGAATTGAATATGAATGTGCCCTGCCATCAGCGCTTCATAAAAGTACTTTTTTACAAACCTATTACATATGTTTGTGCCAAGTATTATGCTACGTGATTCGTGACTACCAGTGATGAATTTATGAAAACCATCAACTAACAAAAACGTTTTACGAAGACACAGGACCAAACAGCTGTCGCGGCTGAAGAATACTTCTGAAGTAAACAAGTTCACTTGTTTTCCAAATTGCCATTTCAGTCCTAAGCTTATCTCGACTATCCACATACGGCCTTAATCCTACATCTTTCAGGTTCAGCAGAAAACAGATTCAACTTACTCATGAATTCATTTGACTGATTAGGTCAAGCATGCGAAGTGGGCAGAAGTCGAAAAATAAGAGAAAGAACGCTTGAGGGATCAATACGAATTTGACAGGTTCTTAGATCGAAGTAGATTGCGTTTAAAATTTATTAAGCTCCATGAGAAATGGTTTCCTTATAGACATAATTGAAAGAGGAAGCTAGTCGTAAAATTATGACAGTTAACAAATGCACATTATTAAAGAAACATTTGTTATTCCGACGTCTGTTGGCAAGTAGAGGACAGGAAACAGTAAACATGCATTAAGTTGTGACGTTGCACGCAACTATTTGCTTTTTACCGTTTTTACTCGTGGTGTTGTTCACCCGAGTTGGATTTTACAAGTTTATCCTTACTCTAAATTGTAATAATTAAAAAAATTTATTAGTTAAATGTGAATTGCGATTACAATACAATCACACAGCTTTTGAAACGCTAGGCCAAATAAACTTTTTTTATGATACAACCGTAAGTTACATCAACGTGGGGGCAACTGTTTCCATCAAAATACTTAAAAGGGAATACACAAACTTCTTAATACGAGTAGATCAGTCAGACAAAACCATAAAACAAGTGATGTTAAATGTGCAATATCCAACAGTAAAGTAGGAAACATTTTTTAAAAAAACATTTGGTGCTGGAAAGAACGTAATTTCAGAATATTTGATACAAACACATGCTTTTCACATGCTCCAGAGAAGATTTTTATTGTGGTGCTAATGAAATACAAGACTAATTGTTTTGCGGGGCTTCCATACTTTATTTCGAAAATATGAAGTGTGCACATTATGTATCATCAATAATATCATGAATAAATATTTAGATGACTACATCATTAACAAAGTTTAGAAAAGCTATTTAACCACTTATTTTAGTGTAATTCGATTTGTGTCTAAAATAACAATGTAGCAACCGTACAATGTGAAAAATAACCCAGAGCAAAAGTTGTTTTATTCCGAACGTTTTCCGCAAATAAAAAATGTTCTATTGAATATAAAATTAAAGTTTCTGGGTGCAGTTTTGTAATAATATTTTAAAATATTTTGAACTAGTAGAATGTTCATCTGAGGCAAAGTTAGAGCCATGTTTTCATCTTCATTCTGTCGCTTGTAGCTACATAACCGAAGTGCATAAGGCAGACCGTATTCACAGAAGCAAAAAGACATAGCGACGAATTTCATAAAGGGTACAAAATGATTTAAACATTTTAGCCTGTTTTTAATTTTTGACGAAATACAATATACGTCCTTTTAGGCTCCTTGCAAAGATTGTTATTTTTCATAACATGAAAAATATAACTTCACATCTAATTCTGTAAAATCTTCCAGAAATTTCTGCAAGAAATGAATCATTCTTGATAGTATTATAAAAGTATTTACATTCTAAAAAATATATAAAAATTATTCATTTAATTTGATTATATTCTGTTCTAGGTTCGTGTAAAGTGATCTCTATAAATTCTTAAGAAAGCACGTTTGTGATAACTTTACCCTCGTTGGCTATTTTGTCTGAAGACAGGAGATACGTAAAGGATATCATGACCAACAATATGAAAGCATTTGGAACGTAAGGTGTGATGTGTCAGTAATTTTTTGACAAATAATTTGATGATTAAATGAGTATTTTAACAATTTTGTTTTTCAGGAGTGAGATCTTACGATGGGAGAAGAGCATTCCTTTGGTTTTCCTCCGGAACTGTATCCTCCGCTTATTTGCTCAAGCTATGATGTTCTTTGCTACATGGCAAACTGTTGCATAATTAATCTGACGCTAATGCAATCAATTTATTTTGGAGAATTATTCTGATATGCCCGAAACGGGATAAAAATGAAAACTGGTTTTCAAAAAAAAATAACTTATCTTTGAAAATAAAAGTTTGCAGAAAACCGACACTAAAAGACTACTATTACGCATATGCTAAATTAGAAAACGTAATCAAATTTGTGAAATCTTCATGATAATATTCCCGTGGTTTTTCCATAAATTTGAAAATGTATTAACGTGATGAGTGGTCATGCAACGAAAGAAATACGAAATGCATTCTGTATGCAGAGAGAATATAAAGTGCCTGATCAAAGCAAATGGAAATTCCATTCAGAAATAGTGCACTATAAGATGCGTTTTGTGCTGTCTTTATTCAGTTACAAACAATCGTACAAGAATAAGTACTTACATCGTAATTCTAGTGGCAAAATAGCTTACTTCGGCAAATTTTAAATGTATTACAGAAAGGGGCGTTGTAAATTTGTGCATTTGAATAAAGTTGAAAACCAGATTTCATCAATATCCTGTCACCTTATCTCAGTGGCATATTGTTACGACTAGCATACCATTATTTGCTCATGTTATTCAAATGCATCAATAGAATTGTGAAGTGAGGTAAGATTGATTATGATTATTCAATCCAGCATTCCAATTCTCCTAGTAGCATGAGAAGTGAAAAAAAAAGTAAATATTTTTCCAGTCTGTTTCAGCCTCGAATTTAACTGAAACGTGAACTGCGATGCATTTTCAAATTAATCGCCAAAAATATAATATTTAAATACGTTTTGGAGTTATTGGCAATATGCCTGGTGTTTGGGCAAAATATTAAATAGTATTATTCACAAGAACAATTTTATTCAGCATAAGAGGTAAGCATACATTCGAAACACGATCTGTTAATAATTTTAGATTTACAAGTGATAAAATAAAATATAATTAACGATCCTAAAATAATATTTGTATGAGAAATAAAATTCAATAAATCATTTGAATAATATTTCCTTCAGTATTGTTTTTGATGGTACATGTAAGTCGAAAAAAAGACGACTAATTTAATTTTTAATCTCTATGTTTTATATGTTTTCAGATTCAGATTTCTAGGCATGGGTCTGGTCACGTCATCGTGCACCTAACGTCAAATCCTAGTTATTTCTGATTACCGCCGTGAAATGCCAATGGACTCAAGATGTGATAATGTTGTTTGCTTCGCTAGTCAAATATAATTTTAATTAATATATTTACCCTAAACCAAAGAAAAGTAACATATTTATATATTTCTATATATTTTCATAATGTTTTAGAAAATAAAAAATTGTAATATTTTCTCAAATAACTTAAATTAATTGATGTGATTAACTTCTTGTATATATTTTGCCTTCCCTCTGTATCCTCTCTTCAAAGCAGATGGGTGTTTTTGGTGAAGAAGAAAATGATCACTTACACTCTAATTATTGAGCTCCACGTTTGTCAGTTTCCTTGCAGAGACGGTGTGAAACACGTCATTGAAGTGTTCATGGAAATAGGCAAAATACATCCGCTGACGTGATTTCAGTGGTCATGAAAGTGTAAAAAGTTATCACATTTTACTGACTGGAGTGATATAAAAAGCAATCTTTCAGTCCCATTCAAGTTTCCTATATTGTACTTTGATTTCTTCAGAAGCTTATAGTTTGCCGGTTGTCCTTCTAGAGCCAGATGACGGCATTAACCAATCACAGAACTTCATTTAAAAACACCCTTGAATTACACCACGATGATATTCACGCGATCTCAAATAAGGCAATAGTACATGAAGTAATTTTAAAGCAAAGCATATGAACAAAAGGAAAAGCCAATATGTATACGTATTTGTCGGTAAACACCGCTTAAATTAACAAATGCAGTACATAAAATACATTTTATATAAAATACAACATGGACATTGATTAAACTCCACTCGTTCTAGAGACTATAGAGATCCTCAATCGTCTGCCACAATCAATAAATGTTAAGCTAAATGTTAAATATTTAATTCATTGAAAATATTCGTATTCGTTGTAATTTCTCATTAGGTAAAAGAACCATAATACAAATAATGAATAAAAAATATTACACTTCAAAAATAATACATTTTTATAAAAAATATTAGTGTGCAAAGGAATAGCTAGAACAAGGAAACAGGAACTAGAACATGCATGATCAATACGTACGTACATCGGAAAACCTTTTCAAGGGACTTCTTTGATGTAAGTACTCTTGAAGTTAAAGTAAAGCTAATATTAAACCTTCCTTTAGTACAGAGGAACAAATATTTGATCTAGAAGAGCTGATGCGAGAATCTAAAAGCACATAATTCGACCAAGCCAGTATAGCATTCTAAGGGAAAAGTAAGCACTTGCCGAGAAATTAAATGTTGAGCCAACAATTCCATGAATACAATTCTGCCTTAAGTGCTCTCACTGGGCAACATTCAATACTGTTTCTCAGAAAAATAAACGCGTGAACATTGCGTTTCAATATGATAGATGATTAAAGTGTGATATCTCATTACGAATATCCCACAAGATAAATTTTCACGAAACTAAAAAAGGAAAAATTGCATTAAAATTGAATTAAAGCTTCGCTGTATAAAAATGTGTATAAAAGGTAGCAACAATACTATAGAATAAACAATATAATTATGTTAAGGGATTTCATAACTCACACATAATAATACAGTGTTTCTACTGCTTGCTGAATACTTTAATGTTGGGCCTTGTATATCGTAACGTTAGATCGGGACAATATACTGCTTCGAAGGCTCACAACTTTCTCGTGTACTTGAAATACGTACACATGCTTTACTGTGGTGGAGGATGTTCAGCTGAACCAACACCGTTTGCTTTGTCCGTCCACTGCTTGGAATACGAAAGTGCATTTTATGTCCTGACTAACAAATATTATGCCTCGGATAATAGCTTCGGTAAATATGTTTACCTCATTCTGCGGCAGGTTGTGTCGATTCTACAACATGGTCTGTCGGTAAACAAGAACGCACTTCTCTATTAAGACTAAATTACCGACCATTAAGATGCAATTTCTACAAGTCGAACACAAGTGGAGACTTTTTTGGAACAGTAGAGCTGTGAATAAGCCCCCCCCCCCTACTCAACTACCCATTCCGACTTAACATCAATCACCGGCCCTGGAACTATAAATGAAAACATAATAACGTGTGTTGTTATAACAGTACACAGTTGCTCGCAGGGTTGGGCAAAATACTTGAAGATTATATTTCAGATACAAAATACTCTGCCAAAAGTATTTTAGATACAAAATACAAAATACTTCCATAAAAGTATTTTACATACAAAATACAAAGTAGTATTTTAAAGTACTTTTGAAAATACAAAATACAACCAACGGTGCTTTATACATCATACCTTTTGTCTTATTTTTTTTCTTTTAAACAGTAATTTTCACTCACTAAAATATCACCACATTACATTTAAAATTTTATTATTAAAAATATATAACATTCTTTATATAAGACGTTCCAAGAGAGGTTTTCAAACCATCATCAGGTATCCATCTCATTTGTGATGTGTGTTCATATTTTAGATCCGAAAGGCATCTTGGTTAATTGCCAATTTCATGCACTCTAGAACTTCACGCACTAAACAAGATCAAAATGTGCAACCACGAACTTAAAATTGACAATATATGCCCTGAATGTAGCGAAAATATGCACTTGAAACTCAGAATATACGTTAAACAAAAATATGGTTAGCAACAAAAACATTTATTTACGTTATCTTCATTTTTTACACTGTAATACAAAATGACTATAATAAAAATATATTTTCAATCATGATAAACAAAAACTATTAAGCGAGAGAACAAATAGCATTGTTACAAGACGCCGTAAATTTTAGTCCAGTTTACTAGTTCATGCGCACTAGTATAGTTTCAAAGTAAATCGATTCTAATATTTCTTTCAAATGTTCAGTTTTCTACTACAAATCTGCCCGCCGAACTCGAAGTTGCTGGGATTGTGCCTCAAGTGCTTTTCGTGTGTGCAATCCAAAATAGTTATTAAAAGGAATCGGATTACGCAGGTTATGGGAGGAACATCGTGTCGGCAGTGGGAAGTTCTTTAATCCGTTTAACGACGAAACGAAGTACGAAATATAGCACAGTGCGCCCTTCCCCGTTGAGGCCGCGCAGCAAATTTGAGCGTTAACGCGATTTATCGCTTCCCTTGCCCTGGCCGCGCCGCGGAGGGCTGCGACCCCCGGCGAGGGGAAACAGCCGGGTCCGGTGCGGCGCGGCGCGGCGCGCTGGGATCCGGGGCAGCAGGCCAGGGGCGGCGGGGGAGCGCGTCGGGGGCGATTACCCATCGACCCACTGCCCCGCTGCGGGCCACCGCCCCCCTCCCCCCGGCTCCGCACCCCTGCGCCCCGCGCCCTCTTCTTTTTCGGCCGCACTTCAATTTTCCTTGAGCCGGCTGCGATAGCTCAGTGCAGCATCGTGCACCAGGAGGGCTTAACGTTTGTTGAGGCTGCGAAATATTGCTTAGATGAATTGGGAGAGCATTAGCAAAAACTGCAACCAGCATCGCCTTCTGTGTTCTCATCAGACGAGAGAGTTCTAGAAAAGAGCGACAAATAATTGACAAAATCATTTATTGCCGAAAGAATCAATGATATTGAAGAGATTGTCATGATTAATTCTATCTGTACGAAAATAAGCGTTCTCCTTACGAATTTCACGCTTGCTACTTATGCGCACCTCATTTCTCTTCGCGTTTTGGAGTCACGAAGACTGCTGAAATGTGCTGGGAATTAGTTGCCAACATACCGAATCAAACTTACCATGCGCCCCATATGCGTATTGCTTAGCTCCTCTGCACTATCGCTACAAAAATGGTTGCCTACTCTGAATTTCAAACAATGCGAGCTCGTCGTGTTTGATGGGGAAAAAAATATAATTCCAGAAAATTTGACAATGAGCAACTCTTACGCCGCGGCCGCCCAGGCTTCTGCTATTACAATGTCGTGTTGTAATTACAGAAAGTTCTTTTTGTTGTAGAAAGCAAAGTTGAATAAATCTTCTTGTTTGTATACTTGACGTTTATTTATTGGACATTACATCCGTCACCTTATAATCTTTAATACATGTCGAGTTTTGTTTTCGGTCAATTTTCTTCCTGAAGTCCTTAGTGACTGCTTAATACCAATTTTACTGGACATGTTTATTAATAAAGAAATTAACATAATGGCCAATACTTTCTGTAATTTAATTTTGAAAGATATTTAAACGTAAATATCAAAGAAGTATAAGAAAATGTATTCTTAAAAGCTAGTTTTTATGAATTGTTTTGAAATAATGTAGTAGATAAACTGGAACAGTGCTTTTGGAGCAATAGTAATATATTTTGACATTCAGGTTTTACTTTCGTCTTTTTCAATTTTGTGATTGATACAAATTTTACTGTTTATGGTAAACCTTTACTTGATGGGCGCCGGAAAGAAATTAGCTTAAAGAATGTTCTTCATGACGCAACAATAAGGTTCGAAAATTATTTATCAGACGATATAAAACATCTCCTTCAATATTTTATTTAAGTGCTCAGAGATTTGGTTTCGATCAATACTCAGGCAGATTTCAGCATGTTGAGAAGCAATAAAAGTGTATTCTGGAATGATATAAAATGTATTTTTATTGAAATATGAAGAAAAATATTTCGAGCCCTCCAGAATTAGAAAGAAAATTTTAGTTGTTTTCTTTTATAAAAATATAAATAATTCAAAATGTGATGTGATTAGTTATTTTATTTGTCACATAATCATGAGCATGCAGATATTATCCAACACCGGAATGCACCGGAAATCATCTTTGGCGCGACTACTCACGAAGAGTCAAGGCCTATCGAGTGGATTTCTCTTTTTGTTTACAAGAGAGGCTTGCACAGGCCATGCGTGGACAACGCAACGACTCCCTATCCCCTAGCTCGATTTCCTAGATCGATGATGACGCAACATTTAGGTAGCTTCTCAATTTGTAGAACGATGCCAAGTGCACCCCGTTCCAGACCCAATTCTACGGTGATAATCCCAAGATCATCGGAAATTTGAACCCCAAACCTCAGGATCTGAATCTATAGATCGTATCTAGCCATGCTAGCTCCTAGGTTACACTAGAAATCGCAACTAATAAATGCAACTGCTCTTAGAAGAATATCTTGCCAATTGTTCGCCCTAATCATACGAGATATTTACTAGGAAGGGCTTACAACCCGAATGCCACCGGGATATCTTGGCAACCTTGAGCCACCCACTGAGGAAGTCATCTCTTTTATTCTTCT